GACCATTCCTTGATGCATCAAACTTGACATCAAGCACAGTGCCCAGAGCAAAAATAGCTGCAGCCCGGACCTTTTAAAGATGCTCTTCCACTTGAGGGATTGGAGAATAAAGCAATGAACAAAACACCAAACCGGGAAATAGATTTGAAAACGAACACCAATGGCTCCTCAAACTATATTTGCCCCCTCTCGGATTGAAAAAATGCTCGTAGGGATTAAAGCAAATGGTTTGCACGATTTAAACAAGCCTTGTAAAGAATTAACACTGCATTAAGTGTAATTCTCCAAAACTGAAGAATACTAAAGAAGAATTTGAATATGATGAAGAAGATTGTGATTTCTTGTTGTTTTTGTAATGATTTTTGTTCTTGAATATGACTATGNGATTTTTGTTCTTGACTATGGTTTTTGTATGTTTTCAATATCATTATAAAGATCACAAACCACCTATATATAACCAAGAGACATGGTCATACGAAATGGTGCCAAAAAACACTCCAAAAGCCACCAAAAATTTGAACAAAACGGTGACTAAAGGCTCTTTTGGCCTTCTATGTGGTCGCATAATTCAACACTATGCAACCGCATAGTTGGCAGGGATTAAAATCCCCTTGGCCTATGCAAAATTTGGCCACCAAAATTGATTTTCATTCCACATTATTCGACACCTGTTTCTTATCAACTTTGAACAATATTTTCAACATGTACATCAGACGTAAGAGTACATCAACAGTAACTATACATTTTTCCCCAAATACCTTCTACTAGAACATTACAAAGGAAAAAACAAACCTCAGGTTGGGGCTCAAAAAGTAGAGGTGCAAGAATATCAGGGGCTTCCAATTGCAAGCCACTCATCTGTGCCTCCGTGAAATCCGCCCATAATTTCCCCGAACACGAGCATAACCATTGAAGAAGTACAGGTTCATTATGTACCTCAATAGGAAATGAACCTTGGAGGTGCCTCATGCAGACATGTATAAGACCAGCTCGAGTGCAGGCTTCCTGACCGCTCGGTGACCATCTACAATGACAGCCAAGACAAATTCAGCAATTGCCCGTTGCTCAGGATAAGCTTCATCTATCAAGAAACCTGATGAAATATGTATGTCCACCATATGTATGGTGAATTTATGATCAACTATTTGTGACCTAAATGCGATAATTTGTCATTAATGGTAATTTTTGATTGATAAATAACTTATGACTGACTAGTTTGATAATTTGTGATCGTTAAATAAGAAGTCGTGACTTATAAAATTTGTGATTTGTGACCTATAAATTTTTTTATTTGCGATTAAAAAATAATTTGTAATCACTTAATTTGACAATATATAATCAATAAATAAGTTGTGACCTATAAGTAATTAAAAGAAAGTGAAAGATAGAATAAATATTTAGGGTTATGCTTCATGTACAGCGTGGGGACAGAACCCCACCGACAATTCACACATAGGGGAGGATAATTTTCTTTTACTTTTTTATTGGGACCCACCTTATGCGAGATGGTGTAGGGTTCCCCTGTGCAAAGGGTTTAATCCAAATATTTATTACGACACAAGTGATCACCCGTGTTATTAATTGAGTGGACAGCTCTACCATGTACATATATAAGACGGTTCCAACAGACATTTTCTCTTCATTTCCATCACCATCACGATCCAACGCCACTTATCCTCTTACCATCACCATCCCTATCACTCTTGAAGCCATTGTGACCATTGTCCCCATTCACAAACAAGCAAGCTTTGATTGTGAGCCTCCATTTAGCCGACAATTTATAAATGATTTATAGATTCAGTTAATATAAAATATTAATTTCAACTGCACATTAATAAAATACTACTCATTTATTATCCAAGCCTTTTGTGGATCCATTACTATTTCTCATTCTTTATTTATTTAATTTTTGTAAATTTGTTTTATAAATTTGCCAAATGGATGCTGATTCAAAAAAAAGTGAAATAATGGTATAAATTAAGAAATCTCATTCTGATAAATAAAGGTTGGACATTATTTTGAAAAATTTGTTTTAGATTATATGGGTAACATTTTTTTCTAATTAAAAAGTAAAAGGCTCGACAAAAATAACAATTGAGTAATGTTGCATCTATATAATTATTTACAGATTGATAACACGACATATATTAAATTAACTATTTATTTTTCTCTCTCTCTATTTAAATTTTTTTTTTTTTTCATATAATTCTATATATCAATCAGTAGATAATGACGTACAAAACGCATTATTACTCTAAAATAAATTGTGAGGACACGTTATGACCAGGGCCATGCCATTTAAGAGGCATGCCTGATAAGGTGGCTTAGCATTGACTTTTTAAAGTTGGTGCTTTGTTTCAATTTATCATCATTAATTAATTAATTAATTCAATTTAACTTTATGTTTGATATGGATTAAAATTATATTTTTAAAATATTTTGACAAAAACTAACGAAATGTGTGAACGAAAAATCGCTAGTTCCATAAAATATGTGATTAAAATTAATTATTAATTTAGACTTAAATTTTAATTCAAACCAAATATGGGCATAATTAATTAATTAAATCATGAATTTAATAGTATACTTCTATGATTTTCAAAATAATAATAATAATTGTATATTTATATATACAACTCTTGTTTGGTGGATATTAAAATTTAGATTTTAATTTAAATTAAAGTTAACAATTAATTTTAACCGTACATTTTATGGGATCCACAACTTTTCAATCATATATTTCATTAAATTTTATCAAAATCTACTAAAAATCTATTTTTAAACATACTGAACAAGGGCACAGTAAGTTGTGTACTCAAAAAAATAATAATCTTATTAGCAATTATATTTTTAAGTCTCGTCTCTTAATTTCTAGTGTTATAAATAGCGCGGCTTAGCGACGTAAAGGCGCGAGGCATGTCAAAAACGCTATGTCTAGGACTTATGCGCTAATTTAGCGGTCAACACTTCTGTTGACCGCTTTAAGAGACGCCTTGGCATGTATTATTATCATTATTTAAAAAAAAAACTACAAAAAAATTTCAGCTTTTTGATCAATTGGATTGAAAGGTCCAAAAATTAATAATTATAAATTTTTTAACTTTGAGGCCAATAAATTGAAAGGCACAAAAAGTTGCTTACGTTGTTAGTCCACTAATTTATAGATGGCATTTCCAATGATTTTATTGTAAACTTTCGATGTGGGATAAGAATCCCTTTGGTTTGACTTTATTGTATTATTGTATAAATAGTTATTCAAATTTTATTAAGTTAATTAATCATTTTTCTATCTTTACTAAATACTACTTAATAAAAATTAAAAACTCTCCAA